GGCGAAATAATTATATTTATTGTATTTCGTTAATGTGCAGGAATAAAAACTACAACTCCAAAAAAGAGTACGGTCAGTTCGTCAAAAAACTGTTTGACGACTCAAACATTCGTTCAAATTATTATTTTGAACTGAGAATGTTTTGAATGAAATAAATTATTTAAACAAGGAAAGTACATACTAGTTACGTTTCTTACTTTCCTTGGGACAAACTTAGTTCGTTTTCTGAACACTTTATTGTATTATAACTATGTACGCATGTAAAAGTCAGGAAGATGAAATTAGCTGGTTTTAGACCTTTTCTCTTTCTAAGTATTTATCAGTTCATCTACTTTGCAGGTTTTAGAACAGTCCAACAATATTTCGTTGTTTATTAAATTTTTATACCGATTTAATATATTATCGAAATCATTTGTTGGAATATGGTTTTTTTTTAATTTTTATTGATGATTTCCTCAGAAGGGAGTTTCTGTAATTACAATAACAACATGTACAGACGAGAAGGGCTGGCGCCGATATATTTATTTTTAATATCATTTTTATTTTTTTTTGTGAAATAACTGTTCATCTCAATGTTAGTCCATTCGTTTCAAGTTATTCAAATATTACTGTATATGTAATAAGAATTTATAAGCAAACCCAGACGATCCTAGGAAGTATGTAATTTCAAAATCATACATATGTGCAATTTATATATACTTTTGAATTGCCGAAACTAGTTTTTAAAGCTCCGAAATACTTATTTATTTGATGCTTTTAAGTTTTTACTGCAAACCCTGAATAAAAAATTGCTCTATGTTAAGGTAACGTAGATCTGTAAAACTTTATATGCACATTGTTTTTGGTTTCATAATAGTTTTATGGTTCTTATTTTATATTTTAATATTTTGCTTATTTTTTTCTGTTTGATTTACTTTAACAGTTAGCAACCTGAAAAAAGTGAATAGAACAATAATCCAATGTTATATATATTAATTAATAGTGCAACAAATTGACTTACATGTGAACCAAAATGTAAATATGTCTATACATATGTATGAAAATTAACAATGTCCCTGCACGATAATCGTATACTTACAACGTGTGCCATATCTATACGAGTATACGTGTATGTTTACACATACAAATATCTCCTGTCATATAGTAATTTATCACCTACCAATTAGAGCATTAACATGCACTTAACACTTAACCAGAGTCACATCATACCAATGCACGACCCAGTCCGGTTCGGAGTGCTCTCTTTCATGGCAGTACAGTAAAAAAGTAATGAGAACAATTGCGTTTGTTATTGTAGTGTTTTTTTATTTACTTTTTCATTTTGCATGTGAATTGTGCCTTGAAAGGTGTCGAGCGGCAAGTCAGTAGCAAGTAACGAGTAGTGGGTGGCGAGTAGTGGGTGTTATTGGGTGAGTGTCAAAAGTGAAGTGGCAGAATAGGATTTACAACATGACAACACAATGTGATGTTGTTGTTTACATTGTTATATATATTAAATACATATATACGTGTATGCATGAACACATTTATTTACATACTTTTTCACAGTTGACAGCCAGGAAAATCATTTGACTTGCATACGAACAAAGTGATATGTTTTGGTGTTTAAAAAAAAAAGATGTAGTCAAAACATAAACAAGTTGGATAAACATAAATATTTGATGAATTATGTTATTGTTGCTATTATTATTGTACTATAGAGTTGAAGTGTTTATTTGAAATAACTAAAATTCCAAAGTGTTGGGTCATCAATGTGGAAGCGAAATCAATAATATAATAAATATTCTGCGAGTCTCGGCCGCGCTGCTGTTCCAATTTGTAGTTTGCGTCTTGGTGTTTTTCCAACAAATAGGAAAACTTAAAAATTACTCTGAGCCAACTCCGAACGACCGAAGGAATTCAGAGAAAATTTATTTTATGTCAGAAATACATTCAGAAATTGAACAAAATAAAATAAAGCAATTACAATAAAATAATAAAAAGGAAATTAACATCTAATATGTACATATGTATTTATATAAAAATCTTATGTCCGCAAATCTCCAAACGAGAGTGAGTGAAGTATTTTCATGGTTCCTGGAAAGGTTTATACGAAAGATGTTTTTCGGGAAGTTGAGCAAGTATCCACATATTCGAAAACTAATATTTATTGTTGTATTTAGTTGAAATTGGGTAGCTGATTGCCTAGATTAACAGAAATACTACTTTTCTCCATTTACTGGAGACTCCTTTTTAATGGAAAGTGAATCAATCTATTTGAAAAAAATTATATACTCATTTTTCGATTTAGGAAACCAAGTTCGAGTATCTCGAATTATACATCTTTCTTTACGGAAAAGAGATCATCGACAGACTGCCACAAATTAGTATGATTTAGATAGTTCGTATTTATATTGGCATTTTCGGGAAAGACTTTGAGTAGTGAAGAAGTGCCGTACACATGCAAAAGAGATAAATCAATTTACTTTTAAAAATCTTTCGTTCGGTGTAAGGATCTGCATTTCTAAGAAAGTTACCGACCGGCTGAAAATCGCCCACAATCTTCCGTGTATGCAGTTACAGTTACTGCACGGCTAAAAGAGAAGAGGCTTCGTCGGAATCTGACGTATTAGGTTTAAGGGTTCGCTGAAGTCTAAATGCAGCATCTGTTCTTCAAAGGTGTGGCTTCGAGTGGGCGTAGGAAGTAAAGGCTGACATCACCGCCGTCCAAGAAAGGCGATGGACGGGAGAACGGCGGAAGCGAATAGCTCCTTGTAACATTTACTATAGCGTCCATATAAGGGACCGAAATTTCGGGGTCGCATTCATGGTGTGAGAAAGACTCCGACGTCGAGCACTGCAATTCACCCCGGCGGATGAACATATCGCCATAATCCGTATCGAAACAAAATTTTTTAACATTTCGCGCACCCATGCTCCGACTGAAGAGAAAGACGATGTGAACAAGGATACCTTCTATGAGCGCCTGGAACGTGCTTGCTAACTTTAATGCAAAGAACAGCTTTCGGAAAATTCTGTCTCCGCAACGAAACATTCCCAAATGAGTTGATGTTGATCGACTTCGATGTCGAAAAGCTGCAATCACAACAGACAGCCAAACAGTTCGAATGTAGAAACTCGACCTGCACTAATCAGAAACTCCATGTAGGGGAAACTGTGGAACGGAAACTATTGGTTTTGGAAAACGTCATAAAAACAGCTGATACGATGAGGAATGCCGAACTGCAGTGGAGAAAAACATACGATCGACTACTACATCTGCGGCGTGGGATAGATACCGTGAGCTGAAGAGGAAAGCAAGACGCATTTGCAGACAAAAAAGAAAAACGTGAGTATGAAGAGCTTGGGAAGTTGGCGACAAGGTTAATGCTCAAAAATTCCACAAAAAGAATGGAAGGTTTGCAGAGCGGAACCGAGTCTTGAAGAACACAAAGAGGTGATCTAGTAAATAATGGAGAGAGGAGAGAAGCATTGGCCGATTCCACAGTCTGCACCGTCAGCTAAGCCTGCTTAACATCACAAATATCGTCCTATCGAGGGTATTCTGGGCACGACTAAAGCCGACCGTAAACAATTTTTTCAATCTTTGGAGTTCTGCGGTCTACAATTATATACGTATTGCTACGACCATTCACACTTGTGTGTGGCATGTTCTAGAGTTGGTTAATAAGAAAACTCTTTTATTTGTCTAGTCGATGTAGTAAGTAAGTATTGAAAAAATAAAATCAAAATGAAGAGGCATTCAACGTTTCACATTTCATGTCTTCAATGAGCATGTGCCACAGCGAAGCAGAAGTAGGGACGCCGGGTATAACAAAGTAAACAAATTAAATATCAGCGAAATGAAATAAAATAATGTCAAATAAAATAGATTTAAGTAAAATGAGTTTTGCGAAAAATTACTTATAATCCCAAAAGCTTATTTTAGGAAGAGGTACAGAGAAAGACCAGAAGATTGAAAAGGTTCTTTGTAATGGCAGCTAAACTTTCAGATGTATTGCGCTCCAATTGGGGATCTTAGAGGGTTATAAATGATCTTGCAAATAAACCATTAGAAGAACTTGACCAAAAAGAATATTGAGAACTAGAATCTTTCATGAGAACAGCATAAACTCCAACGATGATAAATAAAAATGGGAGGAACAACGCCCATTTTAAGAATGTAATAACGGGTTATCTCAACTTCCTGCCAAGCCTGGTATCTTATCTGAATTAAATAAAAAAGAAGTAAATAAATTTATTTAAATTCAACAACATACCGAACGATGAACAGCAAACATATTTAAATGAGAATAATGTTGAGTTGTTTTGAAAGCGTGTTCTTTGCTACCGCTTGGGCCTTTACAAAAAAGAAGATATATAAATTTTTTTTTTGCTTCTCGACAATTACCAGCAATTGTAACTCTCTCAGAGTAACTAGTGTTGTTGTTTTTTTTTTTCATTATATATTTTTACGAATACTTAGTTGTGAAGGATTCGGTGTGAAAAGCTGTCGGTTCTAGACTGCCATTCAGTTAGTTTAGTGATTTGTTTATGTCAAAAATCATTAATTTCACTATCTATAGACACACTAATACATAGATTAATACATCTGTCTAACCACATTTCGTTAATGTTGCTGTTAGTATAGAAAATATATATATAGTGTGTTTCTTTGTGTATATATGTGTGTCTGCTATCGAAAAACACTTGAAGCGCCAACTGAAAAATATGCAAAGTCAGTTACTCAATTATCTTTGTGGTGAGGGGTATCTATTCGCTCGGCATGCGAGCAGCGGAAGGGTAGCGATAAGAATTTGAACCAATTGCGGCACAAAACCCTCCCACACGTCGCGCGCCACATTCCTTTCAGCCGCAATGCAGCAAATTCAGTTCAATTATTATAAAACATATATATAAATATATATATGTATGAGTGTGTGTGTGCGTTGATGGCAACTCTAGCACAAATGAAATAATCAAAGCCAGAAAGTGATCGCACTGCCACCTTGGACTGCTGAGGGGATAGAGTTGAGTGGGTTTCGGTATGGACTAGCGCCGGTCGGCGTGTTGTTGGTGCCGTGCTTACTAACTGCTAGTTCGCTGCCTAACATGTAGAGGTGTTGGCGGCTTTGTAGTGTGGGCTACGGTTACGGCGGGAAAGCAGACTTCACCGTTAAACAATTGGTAGGTAGCAAGCAAGCAGGCAGGCAGGCTGGCTGGCTGGCAAAAAGATCCGAGCAACCGTTGTTAATCTTATCTCCACTGTGTATCATATATTAGACGGGCGTACAAGCAATTTGTACGATATCGATGGGACGGACAGCAGCAATTTTTACTACAATAATAATAACATTAATAATTGCAAGCGGCGATAACGGTATCATAAGGTTGGTGGCGTTGAGTATGTGATATGTGATTTTCATACATTGTTTAAAAGAATCTTACAACGTTGAATGGCCCACAGTTGGGCGAGTGATTTCAAAGCGTTAGCACACGCAAGCAATAAAGCAAGCAAGCAAGCATTTTCGTAGTGTAGAGTGAAGTGAATTTCGCTAGAAAGAATATATCATACAACTACAAACACATACAAATACACCTACATAAATATAGAGACAAAGAGACTTTTGAGTAAATGAGAAACGAAAAGTATATAAGTGCATAAAAGTAAGAAATCCAATTAGTGAGGTTAAAAATTAATAAATTTTGAAAGAGAGAAAAATTAAAAAAAAAAAATATCAATTAAAAAACTCATAAACTGTGATTGAAAAAATTTAAACTAAAGCTAAAAGTGACTGATCAACGGTATATAGCTGAGCAAACCGTTATATTCCTGTCTAAGGCGCTGAATAATTTCATTAATCAACATTTTTTGGCGTTCAAAAGAAGAAGATTAAACTACAACAACGTTGGCCAAAATGAAGTTAAAGTAAGTCAAATTTTAAAACGTTTAAGCTTAGAATTACTTGAAATTAAACGCTTATGATGTAGTACATAAAACAAGCGTAAATTGGCCGATCTTTGTCAGCTCAATTTTATGATCGCTTTTTGTATGCTACCATGTTACCATGTTATAAATTATTAACAGTTAAGATTTTGATTATATTGATTTGACATGTGATCGTTTATGTATTGTTTTTTTTTTCATTATGCTTGTTACGACAATTGGTTTCGATGATTGATTGTTTTATTAAAGGAAATTATTCGATTTCTTTTTTGCAAACAGATAAAAATACAGAAATGAGACTTTGTAATTTATTTATTGGGTTTTTCTATTTTTTGTTTTCAATTAAAAACTTAATAAAAGTTTTCTCATTTCGATTAAATAAATTATTAGATGTTATTTTTTGAAAATTTTCAGAAAAAATTTTAAGTTTATTAAATAAAATAATAATACAAGTAAAATAAAAGAAAATAAAAATATTAAGAAAATTATGTAAAGAAAATATAAATAAAAAAATGAATATAAAAAGAACTCGGTTCGGGTATATAAAACTAAAAACTTGAATTACTCTTCCATGCCGTTTCGTTGTTCGATTTTGGGGCTTCTTTAAAAGTAAGTTTTGATTGAATTTATCTTTAAAACGACTTAACATTTTTAAAAGAGTAGGAAATGCAGTAAAGGGTAAAGTCTACCCTTCCGAGTGTATTTCTGACATGAAATAAGGGCTCCTCGTAAAAAAAACCGTTCAGCTGTTCGGAAGCGGTCCCTCCAAAATGCTATTTTTTTATATAGAGGACGATTTCTTAAGAGCTATAGGAAGGCTTTAAAATAGAAAAAAACACATAAAATTCAAGAAAAACATGAAATATTTATTTGTATCGATAGTAAAGTCCGCATAATTTAATCTTTGAAGATTATTTCATGCAAATGTTGACCGTAACTGCGGCTCAAACGGTCCATCCGCTTAGTCCATTTTTGGCATACTCTTTCCAACATTTCGGGTATCTCACGAATAAATGCTTCAAAGTTGTCCTCCAAAGCGGCCTTGTCTGTATAGACATTAGATTTAACATAGCCTCTACAAAAAATAGTCTAAAGGCGTTAAATCGCACGATCTAGGCGGCCAATTGACCGGTTTCGAACGTGAAATAAATAGTTCACCGAACTCGCCTCTCAATAAGTCCATTGTTAGCGTGCTGTGTGGCATGTGGCACCGTCTTGTGGAAACCACATTTCATGCAAGTCTAGCTCTTGCATTTTATGTAAAAAAAGGTCGCTAAGTTTCGAAGCGCGCGATGAACTTTCTTAACAGAGCACGCATCTTGATAATAACATTCAATAATTTGCAAGCGTTGTTCGTTTTAAAGGCCAAACTGAAGATGTTTAAACCAGTGTTGCCCAAAAGATAATAGCTTAAAAACCACCCTTTATGTATATAATTTAGTAAAACATAAAAATTTCTAAAACTGTCTCTTTGGTCCTAAGCTCTAGGAATAAGCAAAGGAATATTTTAAATTAAAGAACTGTTAAAAATGTTTACTAAATAAATGAATATTATTAGTTTCGAGCTGCTAAAAGCTCTAAAACTGAAAACAAAACGGAAATCATGACTTACACATGCAGGACAGATATAAATTTACTGCAAAAAATAATGATTTGATAACTAATTTTTGCAAGTCATGTTGGAAATAGCTAAATTAGAATTCAATGGAGTAATAAAAGTTAAAGTTTATAAAAATGAATGCAGTATAAGTGGGACACGCTCGCAAGTGGGACTATTTCATGGAATAAATAGGTTTAAAATATGAACTCTTTTTAAGACTTTTTAGTACCTTGGTTGAGCTTTTAAAGCCTTCAGAACTTTTAGTAGTTGCTACTAGTCACTTCAGGTTTATTTAAGAGGTGGCATTATTAGTTAAGCCATATGGGTTTCCATTGTTTTACTGTTAACATTTTTTAAGTGCAGTATTTTTTTTTTTAAATTTATATAATTTGAATGGCGTTAACGTCACACTTGATAATTTAGTGGTAATTAAATATTTAATACCACATCAACATTGCATTTATATATTTATTTATAAATTAAATATGCACTTAATATAAAAGCTTTGAATGAAATCGATAAAATTTAAGTACACGTATGTACATATATAAGTGAAAATACCCGAATTGTGCGGGTAAAACCAAAACTTTTTTATCTGAAAAATACAATAAAAATAAGAGAAAAATTGAATTTTGGCTTATTTGATAAAAGTGGAAATATCCTTTGGATACATTTTCCAAAACAATGATCAGCCGCAAAAGCAATGGTAATGATAACGGTAGATAAACATATACCTATATACTTATATTTGCATCTATATGCAATCAATTAACTCATTTATATAGAAATACATTTTTTATGATATAAACAAAGTGATTTCAATTAAATTGCGCTACTTCTGGGAAATAAGTGTATACGTAGGTGTACAAAATGGTAATTAATATTTAACGCCCGCGCAGTGACATTTGTAGAAAAGTATGTTTATATGTATTATGTATATTTGTATTTGTATATCTGCCTAATAGCCTGTGCTAATTGCAAATTAAAGCTATCATAAATAGTCACGTTCAGTGCCGCGCTTTCAAAGTGTTCACGTCGTTCATTCACAGGGATTTTCGGGGGCGTCAATTGTCGTAAATAACGGACCGACATGCTCACCCACTAACAAACTCACTAATAGCATATGAGTAATAATTAGAATACGCGTTTTCTTTTCTACGTACATATATCCATACATTTGTAATATATGTGTGTAGTACGTGTAGTACGTAGGTATTATTTTAGTGAGTATATATATATATATATATATATACGTGTATACAATATTCACAAATGCCTTATTTACAGTAAGATAATATGATAAAAATTGTTAAAAAGAATTTTTATATTTGTTGTTGCTATTAGAATTGCATATCATTTAGATATAAAGGTCGAAAATTCTTAGTACGAACCGACCGTTGGTGCAAAGTTTGTATCAGCGCTAATGCTATTATTGTTGTTGTTTCGGCGCAAATTAAAATTCCGTTTGAATTAAAATTTTCCTGATATACATGCGCACACCTACATACGTACATAAATACGAGTATAATTCAATTCAAACGAAGATAAGATTTCAATTGCCCATTCATAAGATATTTAACAAACGTTTTAGGTGTATGGAGCTGTGTATTATAATATGCATATAAAATATATATATCTAATACTACAATATATGTGCGTAAGGTGAGATTTATTGTCTGACTACATACTTATTTCTGCATATGAAAAGGTTTTTAATTTTGTACATTACATATGTATGTCTGCAAAAAACTGAATGAGAAATTCCGTATAAAATTGTTTCATGATTGTTCCAGAATTCCAAAATGCTTCATATACATACTTCGTTTTTTTTTTTTTGAAAAATCTTGTAAATCGCTGAAACTCTTAATTTTTTTAATTTTAATTTATTTTTTGATTATATTTCACAAAGTCCCGAGAAAAGAGTTGTTTCTTGATGAAAACGGATATAAATATAAATCTTAAACCAATAGTATCGTGGTATTGCATTGGTACCGACATGTTCCTAAATGATGAACCAAATGATGAAGCCTTTTTGTAGCCGATTTACTATATTTTATTTTTCTCTTCTTTTTACATATGTATGTATGTACAATTTAAATGAAACTTATAACTTTATTTTTTGAAAACCCTTTTTTAACTCTCTTTCAATATCTATAAGTTCTCTTTTTTGATAATTTTACAATTTTTCGAATTGTTGAAAATTTAAATTAGCTACATCAAAATTTTTAGAATGTTTTTATTTTTGTAAATTTTTAACACTTTGAAAGTGTTTATATTTTTAATTACTCTTTATATTATTTTACAAATTTTTTAACATTTTTGCTACTTTTTCTCCTCCCTTTTTCTTTAATTGGCTTAATTTGTATCTAATTCCAAATATTTATAAATTTATATTCTTTATATTTTTTGATAATTTTTAAATTTTTTTTTATTATTATTTTCTTTTTGTTATATTTGAATCATTAATTTTAAGAAATCAAAACAATATAGCTTTAGAGGATTATGAATAATTTTTTAATTAATATTTCTTATTTTCCAAATTTTCTCATAATCAGTTTTTTCTAATAATTGTTTTGCTCATTAAAACTAGACTTACAGGCTGGGCCTATTGGTTTAAATAATTCGATTTATATATATGTATGTATATATAAAACTGAAATTTTGTTTAAAATATTATTTATTTGGTTATTTAATATGCATGTATTTAAGAAAGTAATAAATCAGATTTAAATATGGATGTACGGCAACCGAATGAAATAAGCCAAAATGCATCAGCTAATCTCTATTTTTTCTTTTGAAACTCAGCAGTTACTTCTAGTTAAAATTCAACCATCCGCAGTCATTTCATTCTAACTTTGAATTACTATAGTTTTGCATTCAAAAATATATTTCGAAAAACTCTCCGCGGCATCCCTTAATGCCAAAAAAGTGATTGCTGCAAAATCAATCTTGAACTCCTTAAATGTTTTCGAAATAATTTGACCCTAAAAACACAAATAATTTGTAGTAAAGTCAAAAGCACTCAACATGAAATTAATTATAAAAATAATAATAGTAATACATATACATAGCAATAACAATTAAACACCGAAGAGTAGAGAATAACGATTAGTATGACTTGTGTCTGAAAAGAAATGATAAAAAGAATAAGTTATTTTTTTTTGTATGAGTATAAAGTTTAATCGAAATTTATGACACAAAATATTAAGTAGTTGTACTGATTTGTAATTGTTTCACTTGTAGCGAAATTAACTGCAATTTGTGTATACAAAGGATGAGAAGAATACTAACTTTGTCTTCACTGTTTTTCAACAAAAACTTAAAAACAAATTACACAATTCCAATTAGTCAAAAGCCAATTAAAAAAATAGTTTTCTTTTCTTCGTTTATTTTCAATTGATAAGTGTACAATACTTTTTGTTTTTTGGAAAATTGTCAGCAAGTATTATTTAGCAATTACCAAAGAATTTAGTTTTGATTACTGAATTGCGAAAATGTAAAAAAGTCATAACCAAACGCCTCTAGCTTACATCAGCCAAATTAATTAGTAAATTCTGGGAATTTTTTGGAAACAATTTTTTTCAGCATTTTTTCTTTGAAAATTGTTTTCGTTTTTGTTTTTGTTTTTTTTTTTTTTTGACAATGAGTAGTACAAATATATTTTGCTATCACCACATCTACTGCTGTATAATCATTCACCGCAAATGAAATCCATTACAAACAGAGATTAGGCATTAGAGATTTCATTTGTCCATATTAATGCTGTCTAATTGGCCAGATATCGTGCGCGCGCCACTTTGTTATGCATATATATTTTAATTTTTTATGTTTATTTTTTTTCTGTGGCAACCGTTTGTATTAATTTTTTATGCCCTTTTTTATTCTATTTTTAGACTTTTACGTTATTTACGTCATACGAAACCGCAAATGCAAGACGAATTTCAAACAACGCCACAGGATGTGGAACAGCAATTTACCGAGGTGCGTAAATCGTTTCGTGAAGCCGTGAAAATTTTGTTATTGGGCACAGCGGAGTCGGGGAAAACGACAATAATCAAACAAATGCGTATTCTCCATATAAACGGATACACCGATGAGTAAGTTGCATTAATGTACACGTATTGCATGCATGTATGATTGTATGTTTGATGACGTTAAAGCTCACTAAAGCTAAATAGATGATTTGAGCTTTTTAATGTGGAAGCTCATTGTATTAACCGAAAGTATGAGCGGTTAAGAGGGACTCCAGAAGTAATTAACTGATGTTATTAGTCAGTGTTATTAAGTGCCGGTCGGTCGCTTCAGCGAGTACAAAGAGCAGAGAGTGTTTGTGAGCATTTATGTTTGTGTATATCTACATACTGAAGGAAATTAGTGAAAAAGATTACATATATTTAAGATCTTGAACATTGTATTTTATGACTTAGCTGAAAATTTATCAAGGCATCAAGGCACAACTTAGTAAAAGAAACTTAAAAGGGAAAAGATAAGTGACAATTCATAAATTACTCAGCTCATGCTGAGATTTGATCTAGGAAACTTGTACTAAATAATAGTTAAACAAATATGTAGTATATAATTTTTTTTAAATATTTCAAGTTTGCGAAACATTTGCCGTATATTGGAGACTTTTGGCTTCTGTCTCGTTTGTAGTTTCTTATATAATTCTATCAATTAAACTCTTTTGGGAAGAATTATAATTTATTTTAAGAATTCTCTTTATTTTATTTTGCTATTTAATTTTATTTTCATAAATAAATAAATAAATAAAAGTATTGCTGTAGCTAAATTTTTTGTGTTATTTTTACATTTTACAGAGAACGCTGTGATAAAATTCCCGAAATCTTACAAAATATCCACGAATCAATATATCAGCTGGTGCAACATATGTCCATACTTGGTATTCAGTATCAAAGTATAGCGAGTAGAAAATGTGCTGAGTACATACTCTCGCTGGGAGATCAAGCACCAGAGTATATGAATGATGTAAGTTCAAAATACTTAAAAAATAAATCGGTAATATAAAGAGTGTGGTATAGCGAAACATGCTGCTGAAGCTATAGATTAGCGTTATTGCTTTTAATCAAAAGTTCATTGAGGACTTTTACTTTTTTGTTTTATCTTATTGTATAATAATTTATTTCTTCACTTTATTTTATTTAATTTTGTTTTATGTATCTAAGTCTCACTTTATTTTATTATTATAATAATTTTATTTTATTTTACTTAATTTTATTTCATCTATGGTCTATGGTTCTCGCTCAGAAGGTATTTTTCCGCAGGCAGTATGTTTTTTACACATTATCATAAATACATATATATGTGTATATGTATATATTTACGTTGTATTTGCGTCAAATTAATCGCAAGTAGGCACTTGCCGTTTAGATTTTATTGATTGCAAAGTAGAGGGCAGAAAACCGAGAAAAAAATTTGCAAAAAAATAGTAAATTTTTACTCGAAAATACTGAAATAAAATAAAAAATACTTATCGAAGTGCTAACAATTTAGCATTTAATAATTTTTTTTGAGTATTATACAATTTTTGTCAATTATATTGATATATGTATGTATACACATATATTTCTTCTGGTAAAGAAAATAATTCTTCTATAAGATTTTATAAAATATAATGTTGTGAACATGGTAAAAGCTCAGCTTAATCGTACCAACTGATCCTAATCCAGAGCTTTCGCTGTCAACTAGCGTGTGCTTTTTGTGACAGTCTGGACAGAAACAATTCTTAAACTTATTGAAACGAGAAGCTGAATCTGAAGCTATGACATTAGTTCTTCATTTATTTATCAAATTCCTTACTTTAATTCTATTTATATTTAAGTTTATTAATTTTTTTTAATATTTTCGTTGTTGTCAACATACATTTTTCGAACCGAGTGTAATTAACTAACATATTTTGGACTATAAAAAATATATATATATACATATATGTAAGTAAACCTATCTTATCAAAGTTTCTATCAATTTTCTAATGTTATTTTTATGTCTGATAAAATAATTACGAGTCTGTCAGATTTATTAGGTGTATTAAATTCACATATGTTTTTACGAAAGATAGGAAATACCCAAATTCATATCATTGACAGTTTTGCTAGTTGGGCTTTCCAAAAATAAAGCAAATTAAATTTTGTTAAATTTTCTACAAATATTGAGGTTCAAAGTTTTGTCGACCTGATCAATTTGTAAAATAATTTTTTTCTGAAAATTTTTTAATAAAATTGTAGATACGCCCTAAACACATAGGTGACTCATATTCTATCTTCAGCTTCTCTAGCTCCAGCTCTATGTACATGTCCACACGTATTGCTGGCGTGCAGTTAGATAAGCTTATCATGGTAGCTATTCATGCAAGATATTATTTCCCTAATGATTGGTTAGCGTAGAGCGGGAGTAACGGTGTGCTCATTTATTGTCTATAGGCAAATGAACATTTGTTAACCCATTGAGGGTTAGGTTTTGTTGGCAAACTAGCGTTAGATTGTAATAGAATATTGATTTTTATATGTTATACGATAAAATCATTATTATTAATTAGTATTAGTAACATATATTATATATATATATATATATATATATATTAAAAATATTGAGTTTGAAATTATTTTCGCTTTTTACCCTTTGCAGGAATATTGTGATCACATCATCACTTTGTGGAATGATGTTGGCATTCGGACCTGCTTTGAACGTGCCCATGAAATTCCTTTACTAGATAGCACGAAATAGTAAGTATTAAGGCGATTATTATATAATCCAGTATCATAATAATATCCAGCAAATCATTAATGATTTTTATTTTTCACTGTTCATTTTAGTTTCCTCGACAACTTCGAACGCATCTCTGACCCTGAGTACATACCTTCTACGGAGGATATTCTACACAGTCGTAAGATCACCACTGGCATCCACCAGATTACCTTCAAAGTGAAAGTGCCGCGTACAATGGGTGGTGGCGTGCAAGAGTTTCGCATGTACGATGTCGGCGGGCAGCGTGATCAACGCAACAAGTGGATACAGGTGTTCGAGGGCATACAAGCCGTGTTGTTTCTCATTTCCTGCGGCGATTTCGATCAGTGTTTGCGTGAGGACCCACGTCAGAATCGTCTGCAAGAGGCGCTTAATTTGTTTCGGAGCGTTTGGCAAAATCGTTTTCTCGCCTCAGCCGGGTTTATTGTATTCCTCAATAAGCAGGATGTGATGGAGCGGAAGATACGTGCTGGCAAACATATTGTGGATTATTTTCCGGATTTCGAAGACTTCTGCAACTCCCCGCAAGAGGGTAATTACTTTGATGAGTCTGATTGGACGAAACGTTTCATACAGCATAAACTCATCGATATCACGCGTGAGCCGTTCAAGCGTAATTCTCGAAATAATATCGATTACTCGCGCCGTGAGTGCTATTATCATTTTACCATTGCCACCGACACGAGTTGCGTGCGGAAGGTCTTCAACGATGTGCATCAGATGATTCTGCATCAGAACATGAAACTGGTGACACTGCTGTAATGAGACTGTACATACACACAGACATATGTTTGTATGTATGTATGATATGTAAATGTCACGAATGTTTACTTCGTGCAGCAAAAATATTGCAATTAGTTGTAACAGTTAAGTAAAGTAAAGATTGCTTAGTATTATTTAGCATAGAATATAATTAAGTAAATGCAAGTGAAGTATTCTATTAAAATATTTATAATGTAAATATATGTACGAGTATGCATGTATTGAAATAGTTGTAGTCCGTGCCGAATCTTTGAATTTTTAATTTACATACAAAATAAGCGTCAGAATTTAGAAAATTCCTATTCTGCAACTGTGATTTTAATAGGGATAATTTTTAGTTATTTTATTTTAGTTAACACATTTAGTCATAAAAACGAAGAATTTTAATTTTTCTACCGAACTTATAATTAATCTTAAGAATTTATGTGCTTTTCAGAAGATTTTACACCGATTTTTCAACAACAAATAAACTGAAATATTTTTCAAACAGATCAAATTAATAAATTTTATATAATAAAAAATAAAGAATGATAAAAAATAGATTATTAAACAAAAATATGGGTTCTATTGGGCGAGCGATAATCGTTCGCTGTAATTTTATAACAAAAGTTCGAAGGTTCAAAATTTCAACATGCTCTGTATAAATAATGGTCATACTGGGCTGGAATTCAAAAAAGCGCTCTTAAAAACTAAAGCTTAAAGCTCACAATTAACTTGGGAGCTTCACAGATATATTACGTTTTTCGACCGAAAATTGTATTTTAGAATAGTCAGTTAGAGCTTAAAAGATCTTGGTTAAGGGGACTCTCCCCTGATATTGGACAAATATCGGGCAAAGTTTGTATTTTCGTGTAGGAGGGTCTGTTTTGACTGTTAAACTTGTACAATATTTGAGATTTTAAAACGGCAAAAAATAGTCCAATTTCAATACACAATGGCTACAAAATGGCGCTTTTCGACGGCCACTGGACGAGAAACATGGCCCAACAACTTCAAGCCTGCCGCCTCTTGTAGTAGACTAAAATGGAAAATCGTTGTCATTACTTGAAGATCATGAAAGTTTCCACGTCCTGAACCTTAATTCAAACAAAAAGTGAAAAAAGGCGTATTTTAACAAGTTTTTGAAACTAAAAAATACCCTTTTAGTTTGTAAGATAACGTTTCCATTCAGCTTTTTTTGTTGTCCAGGCATATTTTCCATAATTAGGTTCAAATATTTAATAAACAAATTAATAAAACTTATTTATTATGAAGTGCACCATCTTCCATTTTGATGTGAATATTTTTATTTTTACTTTACAAACTGGCAAATGTAATGAAAAAAAGCAGTGATGCCAAATTTTTTTCAAACATTGTAACCAGTTCGCCACAATAACAAATTCAATTTCGGGTGTTAAAGAAAAGTAACAAAATTTACTTTATCGGTAACAGTGAGAATAGGCCTGTCAATAGCAAATGCAAAAATGCTGCTTGGGAACCTCTGTTAATAGTAAATATTAGAGTTTTGAACCAAAAACGCATGAAAACCCATGGTGCATATATTTGAATAATGTCCCTGGGCTTCGCTGGAAACATTTCAAAGTAAATTAAAAATGATTAGTTCACGTTTTAGGCAATAGTAAAAGTGTTTTTTTTTATTAAGAAATATAATAAATATAGTAATTCGTGCTTTGTAACCGTTGAATCAATTTTCCGGCCGAGCTATTCCTCCAATCTGTGGTTTTGCGTCTTGATGTTTTTAACAAATGAAGGGACCTACAGTTTATACTAAGTCGCCTTCGAACGGCTAATGGTTTTTTATGAGAAGCTTTATTTCATGTCCGAAATACACTCGGAGGGGTGGACATTCCCTGCCGAAGGGCGACCACAATTAGAAAATTTAACTCAATTTCATTTAAATTAATTTTCTGTAACTTTTGGAAGTTTGTGGCACCGGGATTTCAAACCCAGCATTCGGAAGTCGGAACGCAATGTTAATTGCTCGGCTAAAGCGGCCGCCAATGATTATTAGCTTTGAAATAATAAAATTTTAAAATTAATTAGTTAATCCAGCGGCTTTTTATGAATTATCATTTTAAAGAAGAATCAATTTCAACATTTTATAACTCATAATATTTTTTAAATTTAAATTAACCTTAAGATCAGAAGATCAAATAGAATGTCAATTTATTTTAGGATATTTAGTGGACGGCAATCGATGCGAAGATTTTGCGTGGCTAGCCAAGTTTATTGAATTAAGTCTTTAATTGACTGACGATCATAAGCCAATACACATACATACGTACAGCCATACAAACACTTTGTAAACATGTCAGAAATTTGCAAATTACATATGTAATTAATTATGGACTCAAGTGCATACATACGTACGTATGTGGGTACATGCTTATCTGATTGAGTGAGCGCACACATCCGCATAAAATGCATGACGACAACACTAACGCACAAACATTCAAACATGCATACATGCATATTTAATTTGTAAATATATTTGCGCGGTCATGAGACCTCCCTTCAATCAGAAATGTCTGACTTTGGAATATGAATACACATACATATGGCTAATACTATATATATGACTTTACTCCTCTAGTAGGTTTGGTATAAATTTCATTGCAAATAAATATAATATATATGTATAAGTGTACACACATACGTCGTTATATTATTGCATGCAATATGATTAATTTTGATTTGTTGCAAATACAAAAGTGTCAACTCCTTAATGCCACACGCCACCCATACGGAGTTTAAGTGAATTTTAAAAATTATTAAGGGCGTTAAGATGTTAATCACATGCATTCATGTGTAAGTATGTAGGCATCTTAGCATGTGGTGTACGTATTATTGTTGCATGGAAACACGCAACAGCGAAAACATTTTGTAGCAATTATTTGTTATTGTATAATTATTCCAAATTAGCAACATACCAATAAGCAATAACATACAGCAAAACATTAAGAGCCTACAGGGCCACAAATGAAGGGCCAATCAGGAAACTAGTGGTTTTGAATAATGGAAAGCAGTGTAAGTAAAACAAATTAAAATAAAACAAAACGTAAAAAATAAAAGATTAAATAAAATAAATAAAAAAAAAATAAAACAAAAAAAATAAATATGCTAAAAAAATAAAAAATTATAATAATACCTAGTATAAAGTAAAATAAAGTAAAATAAATAAAAATGAAATAAAATAAAACAAAACGTCAAAAAAAAAAAATTAATGAAATAAATAAAAATAAAAAAAAAATAAATAAATAGGCTAAAAAATAAAATTTTAAATCCTAAAATAAAGTAAAATAAATAAAAATGAAATATAATAAATCAAAATAAAATAAAACTTAATAAATAAAACAACGAAAAATAAAGTAAAATAAAATAAAATGAGATTAAATCCAAAAAAAATAAAATGAAATGATATAAAATAAAATAAAACAATATAAAATAATATAAAATAAAACATAAGAAAATAAAATATAACATAAGAAAATAAAGGAACATAAAATAAGACAAAATGAAATTTTGTAAAACAAAATTAGAAAACTGATATTAAATATAGTACAAATAAGGTAAATAAGATATAATAAAATAAAAGAGAATAAAATGAGTAAATGAAACAACAAAAAAAAGGAGGAAGAAAGTACCATAAAACAAAATGGAAAATAAAAAACTTAATTACAAAATTAAAAAAAAAAAAAATGATGCATAAAATAATTTAACTCAAAAAAAATAAATGAAGAATAATTAGAACAAAATTAAATCAATTAATTTAAAATTTAAAAAAAAATATTGAATATAAAATAGGAAAATTAATAAAATAAAATAAATTAACTGAATTGAAAAAAATAAAATTAATATATCAATATAAAATAATATGCAACACAAGTAAAATAACATTTTGGACGGTCGGTTAATGTAGCTAAAGATGCTAGAGATGCTTATCCCACTAATTGAAGTTCTTTCCCCAGCGCGTAAACCTATTCCCGAAGACGTTTAATTTTTACATATTTTCTATTCTTAAAATTTCAATAAATTATTACTTACTTACATACTTTACTGGCGTAGACACCGCTTATGCGATTTCCGCCGATCTAACAACATTGCGCCGTTCGTTTCTTTTTTTATTGGCGCATATTGGTAATACCAAGTACAGCTAGGTCCTTCTCTACCTGGTATTTCCAACGTAGTGGAGGTCTTCCTCTTCCTCTGTTTCAACCGGCGGGTACTGCATTTATTACAAAGCTGGAGTATTCGAATCCATACGGATCACAAGACCTAGTCAGCATAGCCGCTGCTTCTTGATTCGCTGAACTATATCAATGTCGCCGTATAACTCGTACAGCTCATCGTTCTATCGTCTGCGATATTTGCCGTAGCCAATCTTACGCAAAACATTTCTCTTGAAAACTCTTAACGAACGATGAGGGACTTGTAGAGTTTGAATTTCAAGTCTGACGTTATTATTGGTGTTAATGCTGGATCCTAGATAGACGAAATTATCTACGACTTCAAAGTTATNCAAAGCTGGAGTATTCGCATCCATACAGATGCAGCATAGCCGCTGCTTCTTGATTCGCTGAACTATATCAATGTCGCCGTATAACTCGTACAGCTCATCGTTCTATCGTCTGCGGTATACGCCGTAGCCAATCTTGCGCAAAACATTTCTCCCGAAAATTCTTAACGCCGCCTCATCAGATGTTGTCATCGTGCATGCAGGACGGGAACGATGAGGGACTTGTAGAGTTTGAATTTCAAGTCTGACGTTATTATTGGTGTTAATGCTGGATCCTAGATAGACGAAATTATCTACGACTTCAAAGTTATGACTGTCGAAAGTGACATGGGAGCCAAGTCGCGAATGCGATGACTGTTTGTTTGATGACAGGAGATATTTCGTCTTGTACTCGTTCACTGCCAGACCCATTCGCTTCGAGTTTTTATCAAGCCTGGAGAAAGCACACTGATAAAGTCGAATCAGTCTATTGACGGTGGGCTTCAGTCTTTCACACAATACGCTCGACATGACCTTATACAAGATATTAAGTAGGCTTATCCCACGGTCCCTTTTACGGATTGAGCAGAGCACACTTAAATTCCTATTGTCGGGCATGCCATCGTTCGACCATATTCTGCAAAGAAGCTGATGCAAGCACTTTGTCAGCTCTTCACAGGTTCGGGCCCCGGCGAAGTCGATCAACCCAACCCATTAGGGGATGTTTCGTTGTAAAGGCTAAATCAAATCAACGATATGTTGAAAAATTTCGCTTTGATGCGGACTGTGGCGAGACGCTCATTCCCCGGGGTCAAATATCATGTGAATTTTCACCAAGATGAGGTCAACGTCAAAATTCTTTTCTTCTTACGATATTAAAAAAAAGGTATCCTGATGCTCCAGAGAAAGTCAATTTCCAGAAATCAGAAACAAAAACTTGGGAAAAAATATTGAAAACGCTTTGCGTGCAATTATAATAGACAAGTGTCTTTTTGC